GTTTATTCAAAATGCCAACAACATAAAACCTGGATTGAAGAAGGCTTTCTCAGGCATAAAAACAAGCTGCACCGAATTGAAAATGAAAGCAAATACTTACATAAGATGTTCCTTGATGAACCAGACCCAAGTCCTATCTAGCCCAGAATCCTGTTTTCCACCTTGGCCAACAAGATACTTATGGGAAGCCCACAAGAAAGATGTGAGGGCACTAACTCACCCCATTATTGTTCTTCATCAACCAGACATGTTTCCTCCAAACTTGGAGATGGCCCACAGCCACCACTGGTCAGCAAGCACAGCTCTCTCCTCTGTTCTGATTTTCTCCTCATGGTTGCACCATGGTTGGAAGGGAGGGAGAACATCTAAACCTGAGGCTCATCTAGACTCTTTCTTAGGCAGTAAACCATGGTGAGGTTTCTTGAGTGAGACAAATTAAGAAGGAGCTTAAATGTGAATAAAAATATTCTCTTAAAGCATAGATTCATGCAGACAACGTGATGTGGCAAAGATGGCTATACAAAGTCTCATTCTTCCTAGAGGATATCAAGATGTAAACTGATCCTGATATCCTCCTAGCTGTTCTTAATGAGTGTGTTGGGAAAGAACAAGCTCTACCTTGCCTACAGATCCTGTCACCATCGTTCCTCTTCACAAAGCATTTTGAGTCTAGCACAATCGCATACATGGCAAGTGAGCTAAAATGTGTTTTCAAGTGGACCCAGAATTCCACTGAGTGAATCTCTGCCTGAAATACTGCCACTTTAACTGAGAATTCATTTAGGACATCACGTTCCATCTGAAAAAGATGGCAAAGCCATTTATGCTGTGCTAACCTTTACAGCAAACTATTATCAACGCAGCCCCATGTTTTTTCCTGTTTCAAAAACATGTCCTCAATGGACATTTAAAATAACTTTCTTTCCTGCACAACCTGGTGCCAAGCATTTTCTAAAAACACTATTTAAAACAAAGACCTATTAGAGAAGAAATGCACCGTCATGCTTGAAAGATCTTAACCAGTGGAGAGACACATTTCCCAAATATTCACCCTTCCTAATGGCAGCACAAGGGCATTACTAGGCAAAATCACTAGGGAAACAATAGGTGTCAATTTCCAAAGAGACATCATTTATTTAGCAGGCCATCTCAACCCCCAGCCATTCAGAGGGGAGATTTAAAAATTGCTTTGCTGTGTTAAATAAGATCCTCTTTTTGGAAAAGGGAAAACATTCTGAAAAAGCACCATGGAAATCAGTGTGAACATGAGGAAAAACTTGCTATAAAAAGGTTAAACCTACCAGTTCCTTATAATGCAAACTGAGGAAATTATAGCCTCCAACTGCTCAATCTGAAGTTCCTCCACCCAACGAGTGCCAAGCAAATTGTGTGTATGGGTGTGGGCTAATATTTGCATTTATAGTTTTTGTAATCTTAATCATGCTAAAAATGCAAGATTTCAATATTTCATATTGCTCTGCTTTAGGGCAGGCATATAATATTTAATATTTTTCTCTGCCTTCAATATATCTAAATTTGTAATACTTTAGGACTGCGCCAAGCAGGAGTCTTACTATTAATTTGCAAAAGCAGCAGACAACTTGGAAGTAGTTTTACTTTGACTCAGTGGGTCTGGTCCTGCAACCCTTGTTTAGGTCCAGGAGCCAAGCTTATTTAATCAAAGCAAATGTGCTTGGCAAAATGCAGTAAGGGAAATTAATTACTTTGATGCAAAAGGCTCAAGTCATGGACCTCTTAGTAACAGACAGGAGAACTACATTGGAATTAAAACTGCTCACAATACAAGTAATCTTGAAAATTCGGAATTCAAAGCAGGAGGGAGGTAAGGGAGAGAAAAATACAAATCAGCAACTGGCAAAGATGGCGGGTCTCTTGATACAGACCTGTATTGGAAAATGCCACATGTCTTGCTAAACGTGAATGGGTTGCTTTCCTGGAAGAATTCAAGGTATCCTTTTGCCAAAGGGGTGGGGGCAGGGAACACAGAGGACATGTGGGCTCTGGTATTTCAATAGTCATTTAAAAAAAAAGAAAACTCCCCGGGGTAGGCGAGTCTGTTTGTCTGTCTATTGGGAACTGATTCATTTTCTTGAGAATGTCAGAGGAGGAATATGTGCCAGGATTAAAATCAAGAGATACTGACCTCAACACTATTACGCATGTTTGTGAGGCTCTTAGTATTGTAAGCCATCCATAGAGTTTCAGTTACTGGGTGGTATAGAAATGAAATAAATAGTAATAATAAATGAAAATAGTTTTTTCTTTTTAAGAAGCAGAAATAAAATATGAGAATATACTAGGTTTGCTTAATTCACTGAAATCAATGGCTTAAAGTGTTAATTTTAAGAGACAGCCTTCATCAGTAGACTAAAAGGTGTTTTGTGTTATTGACAAAGCAGGGTGGATAAAAATCAATGGTTTTTAAAAAAAAAGTTAGATTTTTATTCAAATTGGGTTATTTTAAAAATAAAATGCTTTTTGAGAAAGAAAAATCTATCTAAAGGTCAACCCTATTTAAGATACATTATAGTGCAAAGGTTATTCACCCTGAAAAAAGAATTAGTTTTTAATATGTAGCATGAGGCTGTAATTCATGCAATGTTTAATTTTTTTGGTAAATGCATTCTATTAATCCATCCACAGTGTCATGTTCTTCCAGGGGTTTCTGTAAAATTATTGGGCAATTTTTCTTGTCTAGAAGACATTGTCACAGATGCTTGGTTTTACAGTTCCCAAAATTATGAATGTATGATAATTCATAATCACAGTGATAAGGCAGTGATCACATGCCTCTTTGCTGTGAAGAAATATGTTATAAAATAAACATACAGAGTGATAAAAATACCTTAATCCCAGTGTTCCTTTGCAAATCTATGCACACAGAATCAGCCCCTTACCTCTTAAGTGCTACATTTCAAGAAAATCAATGAATATAAGAAGATAGTTGGGAGTGCAATAGACCTGTGCACAAAGCAAAATTTGAGGAGGGAGGGTCAAGCAGGAAAAAAGAAGCTTTTTGAGCGAAATATCCCTCAAGTCTTTGGATCTTTTTGTGGATAGCCTGAGGTTTATCATTATATTATTCTTTCCCTGGAGGAGAAAACCTGTAATGGCAGCAGGCTGTAAAAGAGACCCAGTGTGGAAATATTTTAATGAAGTTCCTCTACCTGTGGGTAAGGCAGGCATGTGTGCAAATTATGTAGAAAACATGATTTAAATCTAGTCTTACTGCAACAGAGACAACAATGATAATTTGATCAGGTAAGCAAGTTGTTGAATGTGACCAAGAAAAAAATAAACCAGAAAAGTTCAGACCGAAGGATGGACATATTATTGCACCTGCGAAGTATGATTAACAATAAATTTAAGCAAGCATAAATGACCAAGTATCATCCTATTGTTTGATGTGAGTTATACTTGTACTCAAACACAACGAGGGCCACTGTGGACTTTTACGAATGTTCTGCCCTCATAAATCACTAGCATAGATTAGAGCCGATACTCAGATTGGGAAACCACATTAAGTGTGTGCAGCGGAAGAGAATTCACACCAGACTTTCCAGCCTGCCACCCACCATGCATTTAGACTATTTCCCATCATTCCTGACCACTGGCCATATCCCATCTTTCTCCTTCAATTAGAGGTACCACAGGTGGCTTCAAACAACAAACTAAAAACTTCTTTCAAATATATATGAGGCTTGAACACATTCCAGTGGCATTAAAGGTACAAAATAAATATGTATTTAGAGCATTCTTAACCAACTCTCTGGGTGACATATCCTCACCTGACATCAGGAGCTTCAGAACGTTCTTTTGTGGCAGCTCATTCTGTGAGTGGGACACAAGTGGTCTTTTCTTTCATGGGAGTGGCCACTACCAGAGGATGGTCGTCATTGGTTTCTCTGGCATCCTACTGCTTATATCAACAGCTATTTGTGCGGGTAAGGCTGCGAATAGAACTTCTGCGCCGACTGTGAGACTACTACCAAATTTTATGCCATTATCAGGAAAGCAGTTAGTTTGAGGTAATAAATTAATTAACACAGTTAACTTGGAGAGAGGAATAGAGAAGATCCTTCCATTGGCACATGGAGGTGACAAACTGAGAATAGCGGCCAACAAAAGAAACTGCTTTATCTATAACTCTGCTAACTCACATTCAAACCACTGTGAGCCGCACAGCTTCTTGTCCGTTACTGCAGTGAACGTAAGCATAGTAACATTCTCTAGACAATTTTTTTACTTTCTTGGGCTGCACTCCCAGGAGTGAGATCCATGAACGCGACGAGCAGGTCTGTGCAACTGTGGCACGATTAAGAACCCACAGATGCCTGTTAACCTTGCTTCACATGATAGTAATGTGGCATCCTGATTTCTCTAATTATCCTCCTTGGCACAGTTTGCAATGTCACCTCACCCCAGGCGGCATAGCTTTCTTGAGGGGATAGCAACCCTCAAGAGCCATTGGCTCTGCTGGGTAACTGCCTTCCTCTCAACAAGCCATATCAGATGGGTTTGGATGATCCAACAAGCCATGCCCAGGCAGGTGACAAGGCAAATGGCTCCCACTCATTGTGATCCTATAAGCCAGCCCAATGGGATCAGTTAATAGTCATACAAGTAAATAAATTAAATTTTTCTGATCAGACTTTTCCATTCAAATCTACTACATTGATTTAACTCCAATCCTGGTCAGTATTAGTTGGTCTTTGGTTGAGAGAAACTGGCTAAGCAAACCACTTGGTCATGACAGAAGATATGCTGAAGAACAACAGTAGTTGTCCTAAAACCTTCTGTTAAAATGCTAATCCTTTGGGGTCTGTTCACACTTCCTAATCTTCAATTTCGCAAAATAAATAAGCAAACAAATACTGATGAGATGTGGTGCACTGTGCTGTTATAAGAGCAAAGAGAGAATCAGAGAGAATATTTTCAGAAGCGGGAGGCATACTGCACACACTTGAGAATTGTCTTACAGAAAGATCTCAGCCTGGTGAAATGAGTCTATGGAACCAGCCCAGTCCACGTCTGCTGTGCAGCTGTTAATTGTACAGGTCGTGAGTGACACAGTTGCTTCCTCTGCGCAATCATGGCCCTTGCTCAGGTGTGAGTGCAACACAAACTCAGGACCTGGAGAGGGCCATATAAACATTTAGGTATGTCAAATACAATTGGCTTTCTTATCTTCAGATACAATTGGCTTTCTTATCTGCATTGTGCTCAAGTTAAAGTCTCAGCTCTAAACTCAACCAAATTGTAAATCTTACATATCATCAAAGGATCAACAACCTGAGGGAAAGGTTTAAGGGATTAGAGTCCTACAGAAAAAGCCCTTTCTACTTGAAGGGAACTTAACAAATATCTTGTCACCCTTCTTAAGAAATATCAGCTTGTGCTTGGTAGTTACACAATATTTTATTCTGAAGGACAAATTATCTTAATTCCTAGTATATGTTGATGGATGCCATACCATGGCATTGGTAGGATTACTGATGCCTTGCACAACATTATTCTTGTATCCTGCTGCTTCCGCTGTCATGGAGTGTGTTGTTAACACATGGATGTTGTACACAGTTGCACTTCACTTCAAGACTGAAAAATCTAACAATGCCCACATCATATATGCAAGTGGAGATTCATGCTGTCGTTTTCTTTTACTGTGAGTACTATTGCAGCTTTCCTGTGATGGGTGGCTTTATGTAAAACCTAACCAAACCCTGAAAGTGGATATCACAGTCTGTAGGTAGTCTGAAATAGACCGAAAATGGCCACAGACCAAATTGATATAAAAGTGAATAGAGGGATTGCGAATACAGAGCAAACTTTTCTTTCAGGCTCAACAGGAGACGAATTAGGCTGGGTTCCCACTCACTTTGGAATACCAGAAATCTGTGAAAGGCAAACTGCAGGTTTCACACAGCAGAAATGAGCTTCAAAAGGTATCAGCTGGGCCGTTTTGCATCCCATTAACACCAAGCTGTTGGGTGATGGTGGTACGATGCTCTGATGTTCCATTAGCAACACACCACTATACATGCCAAGTCAGAAGTAAGTCCCACTCTGTTCAATGTGATTCATTCCCAGGCAAATGAGTATAGGATTGCAGCCTGATCCTATAGTTTGACTTTACAGCTTCACATTTAATGTAAAACTCCTAGTACCAAATTTACAAAGACATACATATACATACACTTTCAGTAAGTAGATATATACATTTTTAAAAAAGATTCTGGACTGTGCAGAAATGGACAGATTGACTCTATTACTGAAGGAGAAAGAAGATACTGACTTCTTTCAAACTTGGCATCTTTTTTATGATTGGCTGGAGAAACAGTTGATTATAGAATGTTAAAAAAATACGTTATAGGGGGCTGACCCAGTACATCCGATGTATTTGATGATTGATGTTTTTAGTTTTTAGTTTAGAAAATTTAATAAAAATCTTTATTAAAAAAAGATACATATAGAGGAATTCACTCTATCCTGAATGAAAATTCCACTTAATTAGCACCTAAGTAGAGAAATGTTACAAAACAGGGGAAAGATAGTATGAGCAGAGCCAGCACAGAGGGCTAATTTGGATCAGTGAGACCTGCCAATCTTAAGAAAATCTCCCTCCCTCCCTCGTGTTCAGTATTCATGTAATGATGACCAGCCTCTGAGAGACAATCATACTGAATTTCAGGGAAGGCAAAACTGCAAACAGTTTACACCTCACATTGTCTATGTTCCTCTGGTAGTATTTTAAGTAGAATTTGTGCATTTTCTGCTGTGCTGAGATGTGTGAAATTTAGTTCAGAGTAACTAATCATTCTGAAGAATTGTAGGGCTTTCCATCTTAGAGACTGTGCTTTTAAAATGACATAATTCATGTGAAGCAGGCCTGATATTAATACTTGTATAACAGATTGTAAAAACGTTGGGCCTGGTTCATTTGCTGTCAGCAACTTTCTGTCAAAACTCTTGCTGCCTCTCTTAACTTAAACTTGCTAGTAAGCTCCCACCAGACATACATTAAAATAAGCACTCCCCTGATATCATATTGACTTACAGTAGTTTGACAAATATAACATTGGCATGATGGACCCAGAACTGAGATGAACAAAAATAATATATGCACAAATTGGATTTATTTATAGCTTCATACTTTGTAAAGTTACTAAGGCACTACTTCTCTCTGATCCAGGCCTCGCTCTGCTCCCACCTGTCCTGATGATGTTTGACCACTTCTTTTTGACCATGATACTGAAGATGCTGGCTTTTCAAAATAACTCCTTGCTAAAGCTGTGAAACATCCTGAGATGCTTGTAGTAGACAGTATATAAAAACTTTAAATAAATAAATAAGCAAGCAAGCCCATCTGTTACTTTAAACACAGCTCTTCTGAAACTAATATTTCCAAGGCCTTCCTCTCCTAGTTCTTCTTTAGGCTATGAGTCTCTCAAGCCCAACCTCGTCTCCTCCTTCTGGCTATGCTTCTCTGCCTACATACTGCATCAAATGCTCCCAAACAGTCCTGTGTCATTTAATTTCCTTTTTATTATTAAACTTATATTCTGCTATATTAGCCCAAGGGCTCGCTAAGTGGATTACAATAAATGAAAAACACAATCTAGCAATACGAACAATCAAACATGTAACTATATTCAGAAGGAAGTGTACAGCTGAGGGGTGATAATTTAAAACAGTATAGATTAAAACCATCCTTAAATTATCAAGATAAAATCAAGTATTAAAATGTCTAGAATATAAGGAAGGTGACAGGCGGACTGCTTTTGGGAGGCAGTTCCATGAGGCCTTTTAAATACTGCCTTGGGCAGATCCCAGGTAACCAACGCCCAGGGCTTTTTTCTTCTTGGGCTCTATGCAAGGGTCAGTCAAAGTTCTCTGAGAATAGAGGCAGGTGACCTGCTGCCGCCTGATAGTCTAAACTACAACTCACAGAATCTCTTACCATGGCCATGCTGGCTGTGACTTATCAGAGCTGTAGTCCTAAAGATTTTGAGGACGCCAGGTTGCCTACCCCTCAGAACCTTCGCCTGGTTTCTTCTGTCGAGCAAAAAGTATTCCAGGAGGCCTTTGCAATGAATGTGGGTCTGCTGGGCTCGATTTTGTCACTTTGGGTTTTGAATTGTGTTTGAATTCCTGTTACTATTATTGTTTTAATTAAGTTTATTTGTGATTGTAAGCTGCCTTGAGTGCCATTTCCTTGGTTGATGAATGACCGGCATGAATCAAATCAACAAAAAATAAATAGCTAATAAACCCAATTATTTGATGCACTATTATTCTAAGGTCAACCTATTTTTAATCCTTCATTTTAACGTGGCAGAGCCCGGGAAACAAACCCTAAAAAGATCAGGTGGGGTGGAAAAGTGGATTTGTCAATGCACACAGGCATGTGTGAATCACATGCATTCAAACCATTATTTTCACTACATCACATTCGACTAAGTATGTCAACTTCTGTCACTGAGAATCGGACAGAATGCCAGGATGAATTTGGGCCACGTTCACATTCTGGAGGTGTGGCCATGGGAAATTCTGGTACATATTAGACTTGGTCCCTAAAGCCCAAATAGCAGCCTTCATGAGTTATAAGCAGATTTCCCCGCTATCCTTTAGCGTGACTCCACCCTTTGACACTCCACTCTGACTATGCATCCAATATTAAAGCAAATGAAGCTGGAAATGAAGAATTGACACATACTCCAGCAGAGAAGCCTACAAAGCTAGCCAGTCTCTCTTGAAACTTGGGCAGGGCTTTCTTTCCATGGAAAAAATTAAGCTCAGTGTAGACTAATGAAAACATCCAAGGTCATGTGCACACTGCAACAGACATCACTATCAATTGAACATGGTGTGAATGATGGTACAAACCAGGAGAAGCTTGGCTGGAGTTATTCGTGCATCTTTTTACACCTAGAAATGTTTAGGGGTCAAGTTCTCATTTTATTTTCAGACATCAAGGAGGTTCAGACCTGAGCTATTGGATGGGATGAACTAGGGATAAGTCTTGGGGAGAACTTATGGTAGATTCACAATAACAAAAGGGAACATTTCCTTCATGGAATGTTCCATCAGCCGTTTCATTGCTGATCATCTGCTAGGGCGTTTAATGATTTCTAGGCCACTTCCCAGAGCCATTTGGATCACAGAAGCCAAGGCAGCACAGTTGGTTGCGTGGGATCTTCCTACCTGTTGATTATTTGATTGGACAGAGTCATTTGCCTGGTTCTTTCCTTGTAGTGCATGTATCCAAAGGCTTCTGAAGCAACACAGGAAGGAGCCACTCTGGTGAATCAATTCCATGGCCATTTAAAGGGATTTGGCAAATTAATGGGGAGCAAATCTGTAAATCATAATAGTTCGAATCCCCCTCTTCAGGGAAAGGGTTCATTTAATTACTAGTGTTAAGAAAAGGCTATCAATACCATGCCTTGCTTGAAGAGACATGAGTTGCACTAGAAGACCCTTTGGTATGGTTGAACATCCCATGTGTTATATACAAGGGATGTCCAGAAAGTAATGAAAATGAAGTCCCTACGCTCAAGAAGGGCTCTGTGAAGAAAGAAGCTGGCCAAGGTCACATGGGGTGAAGTTGCATTCCAGCCCTGTCAGAGTTGAGACATTCTCTTTTGTGACACCCTGTTCAAGTGCCTCGTATTTAGAAAAATGCAAGCGAGTTTGGAACAGTGGTATGCAATAAAATTGTGTGAAATTGGGTAAAAGTGCATCAGGAATTTTGAAAATGGTGAGAAAAACTTATGGAGAAGCTGCCCTATCAAGTGTACTGATGGCACAAGTTGAGATCAGCTCAACTTGAATCCTTCATCACAACAGCGCACCAAGTCACAGTGCTTTGTCTGTCAGAGAGTTTTTGGCTGAAAAACACATTACGGTGCTTCCCCATCCACCTTACAGTCTCAACTTGGCTCCTTGTGACTTTTTCATACTTCCAAAGATGAAGAATGCTTTGAAAGGACACCATTTTGGTAGTGTGGATAATGTCCAAAGAGCCACTACGCAGGCTCTGGACACCATCCCACTTGAAGACTTCCAGGGATGCTATGAAGAATGGAAAAATTGCTGGGTGTACTGGGTACACTCACAAGGTGCTTACTTTGAAGGAGACAATGTTACATTGTAAAATTGTTTGTTAAAAGAATTTTTAAAATATTCTCGTTACTTTCTAGACACACTTCGTATTAAAGGGGGCATGTTCAGTATGAGTACTGAGCCCTCTGTGGAATGGTGCTTGTCCCTTTTTGGCCATATATGCAACCTTTCTCAGAGAATCAACCTTAGGGGAAAATGGTTTCCTTCTGTTTCCAGAAGAAGCCAGCTGTGCAGAGCATTGGGCGTCCCAAGGGACAGCCAACAGCAAAGCAACCCCCTTTTCTCCTCTCCAGTGAGCTGTGGAGACAAATCAGGAAACCCTGTGACAATCACACAGCCGCTCTTCCTTCCTCTTGCATGACTGGCTTTAAAAAAATGGGAGGTCATGGTGAATGCAGGTTTAACTGGATAAAATTGGTGGGCCCCAGACTTTTTAATTGTTTAAAATTATTTGTTTAGCTGAAAGCCTGCCTGGACAAGCATTGGACTGAAAATGAGGCATGCAAAATGAGTGGACCAAAAGTCAGAGAAAGGCCAGTGTTTCAATTGTACAGGGGAAAGTAGGAAGGTTCTTTATGAAATCTGCAAGTCTCAAGTTCTGACATATGCCACTTTTAGCAAAATAATTCCCGTGCTGGTATTCTTCTAAAAGCTGTAGCTAAGTAAGGGAGCTGAAACACCTCTGTCAGATATGCCTGTGTTTTTCCTCACAAAAGAATTAGCATTGCCTTCTCACATTTCATGACTGAACTTTCTGTCAGGAGGGTCCGCCTTCAGGTTCACTGTAATGGCGACTAGCAAAACTAGCAAAGGAAAGTCAGGCCATGACTGAAGTCATTACCCACATTGTTCAAACCACCCCTGGCCTAAGCAGTGTTCGCCTGCCCTTTACGTGTGAGAGTTTACGCAGCTGTCTCCAACGTTCCACGGTGAAACAAAATGGCTGCCTTTGGATTCAAGCTCCCAATTGGCCCGCCACAGCCTCACTTCTGCTGTGAGCTGCATTTATGTTTCCTGTTATCTGCTGGGACATATGCAACATAAAATTCCACTTGCCAACAGATTTGCTTGCAGCTGCTAACTTGGCAGCCTTTGGAAATTGAGAAAATTTTCCAGGCAGTAGTGGGAACATTACAACGAAGCTTTCATCATCAATGGCCTTGAAAAAGTATCACCCAATGTCAGTCCCATGTGACTAGAATACTAAAAGCTCTCCTAAATTTACTTCCTCTGGTGAACCATGTGCCAATTTTTTTTAAAGGTAACAGTCTATCATTTATCATCAGCTTCCTTTCAGTGCTGATGGAGTAGGATATTCAGAGAAGCAGTCCACACTCCAAGTGCTTTTAGATTAATCATGATAGAAAATGAGATGAGATTCTGTGTCAAGCTGCCATGATGATAGCACAATCCTAAACGTTCATTTGGACATGTGTTTTCCCGGTTATGGAAAAGTGCTCTTTGAGCACTAGCTTATCTGTGATGCTCCCAGGCACACAGAAAACTAAAGGAAGGCTTGGATTCTACAAGACGTAATAGCACATCTCAGAATGTAAAGCTACTCCATTTATATTACTGTAGAAAAGTATATTAGTTCATGTAACCTATATGCCTGGAAATTTTTGTCCCTTAGGGTATTATGGCAATGGGAGTACAATTATCTTTCAAAATAATTTTACACACACGTCTCGGATTCCTAATGTCCCATAATCCAAGGAAACAGAGTACCATAATCAGTATATTTCCATCTTTTAGTCTTTAGAAAAGTACAGTATTTCCAAATATAGTCTAGCCACAATGAAACCCTCAGAGTTTATCAAATAAAAAATCTTGGAATAAATTATTTGCAAGTTGCCTCTTAGCTCAGCATGGACTGAATAATTTTAAACTTGCATCAGGAACTTGAATTGCCCTGATTAAATCCATTTTAAAAGCTGTTTGTCATGAGTCAAATATTTCACATGTCCAGTATAAACAGTATAAACATACTGTAATTCCTCTAATGAAGCTTATTAATTGATGATACAGGAATTACATATTTACTTTGCCAAACAGACTCTTTGCCTCTGAAATGTGTTTCCAAAGTGGCTATTAGTATTACTGGAAATGCGAAATGGGGAGTTGAAAGTCAAAAGGCAAATGTCTGGTTCTGCGAGAAATGTCTGGGTTGCATAAGAAAGGAGGGAAAGTCTGGGAGTGTTTAGCAAACCAAAATTTGGTTTCTAAACTATATGATAGATGTTTCTAATACTAAGACAAATGGCTTTTAACCCCGCCCTCCATTATTATTCAAGTATAACTTGAGGTCTTTTTGAGGGAACGGTTATTCAGAAACCTGTCCTTGTTAGTCAGTGCAAGAGGCACTCTGTAGAGAAACAGATTTTGCCAGAAGAGCTACAGCAAACGGATACCAAGAATGTATTTGGGCATTTTTTCCCCCTGTGTACTTTGCATTCTTCCTTTTGAAGGCTGTAAAAAAGGACCAGAACAAGAAGTTACAGTACAGATCAAGGAAGCCACTCTGTCTGTTGAGCAGAGACATGTGGGCAGGACATCCCCATGGACTGAACATCTAGCAAGAGTCTCCCTTCCCCATGATTTCTCTTGGTGGCCAACATAAGGAAATCTTCCACATTTACCTCACACAGGTTTGCACAGTGTGTCAACCCACACTGCAAATAAGCCACGCAGTATGGGTTGTTCCATGAACCTAGTAAACCTGAGAGAGAACTGAGCTTGCCATTGGTTTTCTCCCCACTTCTTCCCTGCCCCCCGCCACACTCCTCCAGCCAGCATCCCAAGGCCTCGTCTAACAGAATCCATTTGTTTTCCCTTCCTTGCTCTTCCAGTCTCCCAGCTTTGGATGATAAAGCAAGGCATCGTGAGTTTAGCAACACCTTGAATAAGCCATGGGTTGTTAGGGCAGCTGTGGGATGCCGTGGGTCTGTTCTATTCATTTATTGTAAGCCATTCCGAGATGTTCTCTAAGGGATGGGATATAAAGGCTTAAATAAATAAATAAATAAATAAATAGCTTGTTATTCCAAAACAAGTCACCCTTCGGGAAGTGGTCTGGGTTTGGATGACATGGCTAGTAACCCATAATGGCTTGCAGTGTCCTGTTAACCTAATCTCTCTCTTTCTCTCCCATCCGCCCTCTCTCTCTCTCTCTCTCTCTCTCTCTCTCTCTCTCTCTCTCTCTCTCTCTCACACACACACACACACACACTCTCACAAGCAAAAGCACAAGTGCTATTCAAGAGAGAATGTGAGATGTATGATGCAAGCTTAGACAGAAAAAAGTCCTGTAACCCCCAGCTTCCCAGATCAGTTAGTCTCAAAAGAATCCAAGCCTTTTTGCCCTTTTTACAAACATGCTTAGAATACGAGTATATGCACCTTTCTAGTACGCAACTCTGCAATGCGCTGACACATCTCCAGACAGGCTGACAAGTGATGCAAGAGAAGCTTTGAAAGCTTTCCCTAACTTGAAATTGACTACGACACTGCCCTGTTCCACTTATGTTCTTGTTGCAACATTTTAATGAATTTAATGTAATGCATTTAATGTAATATTTCATCTTTCAGATATTTTTGGATGTTATACTAAAAATAGTATGTAAATAATAAAATGTATGTCAACCGTGCATTCAGGAGGACCAACTGAAATGCCTCAAAAGGGCTAAAGAGATCTTTCATGAAACGGGATGCCATGTGACAACATGGATGGGAAAATAACATGCATTCAGGGGTCTACTCAGGTAGCCTTCCTGGGCAGCCCTGTCATCTTGGAATAGGAAGCAACTTTCAACATCTTGAACTGACCCACTCCTAAAAGCTTTTCCCTCAAAGTCCCCCAAGCACACCCCCTCATTAGCTAAAAAAGATTTAACTAATGTTTGCAGTGGAAGGCTCCCAAAGAAAATGCATCTCGTCTAGAGAACATGACACGCCTCATTCATAAAAGCCAGTTTTAATGGTGTTCTTGCTTTTTGCCATTCCATTATACACTAATGGCCTGGGAATTAAAGAAAAGAAATACAAACAGAACAGAAATATAAATAAAGAGAAAGAACGGTGCGACAAATAAAACTGTAGTGAGCCACCAGTGAAACGTTGCTGCTAAAGATGCTAAGGCAATCTAAAGCCACATTAAGGGAAGCAGAAATAAGCCCCAATGAGGTATGATTAAAAGCAGTGCACTCAATCGTGTGAGCAGGAATGGGGGCCCTCCAAGCAGGCCCACCCTCCAGTGTCACAGTGAAACTCCTCCCAGTCCTGCCCATGTGTGCAATGGGAAAGTCTGCAGCAAAGAGGCCTTCATACCTTACCAATACCTGCTCAGGCTTTCAAGCCATTTGGAACTCTGCACAATCACCTTTCCAAATTGCATGGAAGCCTGTGTGCAAAGCGGTAGGTGTGATGACCCCCTTGGTGAAGGTATTTGTGTAGATTCCTATTAGTTGGGAGCTTTGTTGGGGTGCAGTGTTGTGGGGCAGAGCTGCTTGGTGTGGTCCCATTCCTGCCCAAGGGATCAATTTCATCCCATCTGAATCGGGCTATATTAAAGATGTGTAACTCTGGGAGTTCTGTTCTTTTTAAGTCCAATGGGGTTATGTGGTGTTCCATGTTGGGAAGCAGTGGTGGACTGTAGGGATTTTTTGTTTCTGATTCCAGAGGACAGGAATGTGCACTTTTCCTTGGTTCTGCCAGGTGTGTATTTTCAAGATCATTCGGCTCTACAGGCCTACCTAGCAGAATGGCAGATTTGTGATCATGCACACTTATCATTTTTTTAATGATACTGTCTGTTCAGATTTCAAGATACCTCCCAGTTGCGCAAACTGCTCCCATTAAAAAAACAAAAACAATTTGCATACTGGCTCCATGTGCTATAGATTGAGTTGACACCAGTGAGAGGCATCGGACAGAGGAAATGGAACAAAATCCATTGAGCGTTCACCCCTTAAACACAAACTCTCATGCACGCCCAGGCTAGAGTTCCACTCCATTCTGTTCCAGACAGACTGTGTCTGAAATACTGTGTCCAACTTGAAGGTGTCAACCGGCAAGAAGGACACTGAAAAACTGGAGCATCCCTAAACAAGGGTAAACAGGATGATGAGGGGTCTGGAAACCAAGTCCTAAGAAGAACAGTTGAAAGAGCTGGGTACGTTTGCGCTGGAGAAAAGAAAATTATGGAGAGACAAGAGAGCTATCCTCTAATCTTGAAATGGATGGAGCAAACTTGTTCTCTCTTCTTCAGGGGTCAGGATTAGAACAAATGTGGGGGAATCGCAGGACGGTGCAGGGACTGCTCAATGGTAAGAGTTGTCTGTCAATGGAAGAAGCTACTTGATATGGTGATGGACTCTACTCTGCTTCTGGAATTTCAGCAGAGACGGGCATGCCAGGTGTCAAAGATGGTGTAGGTATATGCTACATTGTAAATCCTGCACTGAGCAGGGGGTTGCATTACTTGGCTCCCAAGGGAACATTTAACTCAAGGCTTCTATATATTTCTGCAAAAACAACACAGCCATGAATTGATTTAAATTTGATTAAATATAAAGGGCGACGGCACAGAAATGCGATGTCTAACGACATCACATGGCAAGCATTTTTCTCTGCAACATTTAAAATGTGGGTTCTGTTGCTGCTGGTGGTGGTGGTTTTGGGGAGAGGAGTACAGTAGCATGTTCTGAGTAGAGAAACTACATAAAAACACACATTAGGCTGGACAGCCTGCCTGCTGTGACATGAGTCTAAAACAGGGAAAAGATGGATCCTGCAATTTTCAAGAACCCAGTGGAATT